AAGCCAATACGTGCAGTAGGATCAAAAACCCATTGCCATTGTTCTTGAGGTCTCAGTAGTCCTCATTGTCCACTATGTTCAGCGAGACCGGTTTTAACCCAGGCTTTTTCAGCTCCAGGCCAGCTGGCCTTGGTGAATTCCCGATAGAACATCCCCACTGTCTCAGTGTATGGGTGCACCCCTCGCGGTCCTGAGTTCCTTGCTCGTGCTCGCTCTCCTTCTGCTCCTAATTTGGACCTTGAGATTTCAGTCCGGTGCTCCAACGTGGGTCTCTGTCTCTGTCTCCTTTCATCGCCTGATGAAGGTTAATATTCAGGAGGATGCCTATATGATTTTCTTTGGGTTCTCCTTGGGATTAAAGATGTTAACCACCACCACCTGGATCTCTTTCTGGATCGATCTTGTGTAGCCCAGGGTAGCCTTGAACTCACAGAGATCAGTCTGCCTAGGTCTCCCAAGTCCCGGAATTAAACGTGTGTGCTACCGTACCCTGGCCTCTAGTGGCTTAGTTTTGCTCTCTGATCTTCAGGAAAGCTTTGTTTATTAGAATACAAATAAAATGTCACTCCAGAGGAATCTTTATTCATTGCTGGTGTGAATGCAACGAAGTATAGCCATTTTCGAAGGGAGTATGATAGCCTCTCAAAAATTGATGCAGCTATACTACTTCAGGGTACATTCTCAAAGGACCCTTTATAATAATACAGAGATACATGCACATTTATGCATGTTTATTTCTGCTTTGTTCATAATAGCAAGGATATGGAATCAGCTTAGATGGCCATCAATAGATAGGTAAATAATAAAAATGTGGCATCTGTGCATAATGGACTTTTATGCAACTGCAAAGAAAAGTGAAATCTGCAGGAATACGGATGAAAGTGGAAAGTATTATATTAACTGAGGTGACCCAAATTCAAAAAGACTCCACTGTGTGTTACAGCTTTTAGGCAGATTCTATCATTCTACCATATAATGCGTTCTTATAAACAGGTTAAAATGTGCATAAAGAAAGCCTAAAACACTAGAAAAATCAAGAGAGGATGAAAAATCTGCTGAGGAGCAGGTAAGACTGCAAATGGACACATGTGACATGGGGACAAAAGAAGATGGCAGAAGAATGTAAAGAGGACAAGGGATGTGGGGAATAAGGAGGGAGGATAATCAATTGTAACTTGTTCTGTGTGAATACACAGTTATACTACCTAATACTTTGTATGCTAATTTAAAATTAAACTGATGTATAAAATGCATGTGTATATATGAATGGGTTTGAGCTACACTAATATGTCGAGGCCTTTGTTTCTGCAGTGGGGATTTTTCCGCTTTCACTTTGAAAAAAAGCTAGCAAAAATTATAAGAATTTGAGATTGAAAAAAATTAAACATCTTATACAGGAGTTTACTTCAGGCACACCCACCCAAAATGTTAGCAGATTGTCACCTTAATTTGGAACATCTTTCCTGATGGAATGACTTGAATCTGGTGATTTCAAATGTTAATTTTTGAAATTGATGCTTAGGAAAAAACATTCTGCTCCAGAATTTATAAGAAAGATAAAGGGTGACTGAAGTGTTAAAATATGCTTTCTCTAAATACCCAAAGAATTTCTAAACTGCTTTTTGCTAAGCAAACGTCCAATTTAAATAAAGAAAATTAATTTTAGGATTGACCTGAATGCAGAGATACTTTTGCCTAATTTCTAGGTTTCGATCCATATGAAATATACATGCATTTTATCAATGATGAATGAGCTAATTTTGCTGCTGGACTAATTGCTATTACATGTAGTAATATTTTATTTGTATTCTAATAGATAAAGCTTTCCTGAAGATCAGAATGCAAAGCTAAGTCACGAGAGGCCAAGGAATAGTGAGACATACTTTTAATTCCAGGACATGGGAGACAGAGGCAGACTGATCTCTGTGAGTTCAAGGCTACCCTGGGCTACACAAGATCAATCCAGAAAGAGATCCAGGTGGTGGTGGTTAACATCTTTAATCCCAGTGTTTGGGAGTCAGACACCTTTAATCCCAGCACTAGATAGGTAGAGACAGGAGCGATATGGCTGAGAGGAGAGGGGAATAGAAAGGGGAAGAGACAGGAACTCAGTGGAGCGTGGAGTCTGAGGATTCTTGGAATCAGTATCTTGCCCTTTCAGTCTGAAGATTTGGTAGAGGTAAAAGGTCTCCCTAGTGGTTGGTTGCTTTGATTTTCTGATCTTCATGTTGAACCCCAGTATCTGTCTCTGGGTTTATATTATTCGTGCTGCAATTGCATTTCAAACTAAAGTTGTAAGAGAAAAAGCCACACCTTGCACTGAACATTCTTAAAGGCTAATTGATTAAAATGTCAATGATTTTGGAGGGGGTTGAATGTTGCAGGTCCAGAGCCTAATTGCAAATTATCTGGAATATTCCTTAGACCTCTAAATGACCACTTATTGCCTAGCTTTGTATATGACATAAATTCTTATCACTATGAATTGAAACCTTGGGATGCATCAATTTGAGGGAACACTGGCTTCCACCAACTCCAAACCTAAGAATGTCATTAGACAGCATGAGACCTATAGCAGAGGTTTCCCTGCCTTGCCTACCTGCTCTTTGAATCCATGTAATCAATTACTAATTTGTTAATTTTTGAGACAAGGTCTTATTCTGTAGCCATGTCTGTCCTGTAATTAATTCACTCTGTAGACCAGACTGACCTCAAACTCACCGAGACCACTTGCTCCTGTCTTCAGAATTCTGGGATTAAAAGTGTGCACCACCATGCCTGATACCAGTAATGTGCTTAAAAAGTGTTTTGGTTTATGCTTTTCTTTGTTCTGGTTTTATAAAATTTCATTGATCTGTTACCTTGTTGAAACTTGGATTTGCAGTAAAGAAAATCGGTGTTCCTGGGCCATGGTCACGGATATTGGCCTCCAGAATAAACTCTTGTCCTTTTTTGAGGTGAGAGATGTTTATATCAATATCAATATATATATATATATATCTTTTGTTTTAAGTAATATCACAATATTGGATATTCCTAATGTTTCATTTTGTGTGTGTGTACATTGCAGAATTATAAAGCTAGCACTAGTACTATTCATAAAAAGGAAATATTAAATTTTGATTCTTTGTTCATTGGACCATCAAACTGACTATTCATGTTCATAGCAGAAAATATTCTCCTTATATAATTTATACTATATGATATTATGATGGTGTAATGTGATACTATGCAACCATGGAAGATGAAGCATGATTAAAATACTATTAGAAATTACTTTTCAGATATATTCTTAATTAATATGGAACCATTATATGTGTGTATGTATTTGATACTACCTACAGTGTATTGCTACCAAGGAAAACACATTTTTGGGGAGTTCTTATTCCACATATTAAAGAATTTTAAAACAGATTCAAACGGGAGCTTGAGGACAATTTTGTTCATGTCTGAGAGAAAACAACAAGACCAGCAAGCTGTGGGTCTTGACAGGTGCTTGGAGGAGGGAGATAGAGAAGAGGAAGAAACCATTCCTTTTGCAATGGATACAGTAAGCAGTCATAAAGCCGAGGGGGGTTTGGGTGTGGCAGAGAAACAGAGGCAGGTGCTTGGAGGAGGGAGATAGAGAAGAGGAAGAAACCATTCCTTTTGCAATGGATACAGTAAGCAGTCATAAAGCCGAGGGGGGTTTGGGTGCGGCAGAGAAACAGCAAAAAGCCCAGAGCATAAGTAAAACATACCCTGCTTTGAACAGCATTCAAAAGAAAAGGATAGAAAGGGGAAAGTTACGCTGTTCTAAGTCATTAAACAAGCAGGCAGATTTTTCTGTTGAACGGTGGAAACTCTGTAATCCTCTCAATACTGGAGGGGCTTCTAGGAAAGATAAATGCATTGCCTCATTGAAGGACTAATTAGTGCTCCTGTCTCTTTAGCACCTTCAGATACCTCAGATTTATTGGCCAGGTGATTAACAGGCCCAGTTCCTTTAACTCTTAATAGGAGGAAAGAATAGTACGCAAATGTTGCCAAGACTTTAGAATGTCAGTTCTCCACCCAAGGCAAGACCTTAAACTTGAATTTTCTTTTTTTGATCCAGGGGAAGTAGCTTTGCCCTGGATAACAAAGACCAGATATTCCCATCCTTTAAAAAAGTAATGTAAAGGAGTGGCAAGACTGATATTTACTTCTAAGTGTTACTTAAGAAACTGGAGGTGGGCTCTGAAGGAGGCACAGAATACACCCACACACCAAATCTCAGCACAAACGAGGGACATTTACCCCAGAGGGACAAGGGGACAGTGTTGCCTCTGGATTTAACAAAGACAGTAGCAGGTGTCTTTTCAGGAGTGACTTGTAAGGAGAATAGAGTTTCTCTCTGTGCGAGGATGAGCTGGTAAGTTCTGATTGGACATTTTAATTAGGGTAGTCAAATATTGAACTTTAATGGATGGACCTTGGTGTTGATGCTTGGACCTTAGTGTTCAGTCTCCGGACTGAGTTAGACATAAGGAAGTAGTCAAAGGGAATAGACTTTGTTGACTTTGCTTTAGGAATGTAATCTAATGGTTTAGCAAGGGAGAGGGAAGTGGGGAGAAGGATGAGACCTACTAGTGCCATGTTTGCCATGCCCATCAGGGTCCATCCTAAATGTTTCCCAAAGTTGCTAATCCCTGTAACATTATAATAGAGTTTCTCCATCAAAAATCCATTCTGAACTTTGCCCCTCCTCCCCTCTTCTTTTCATCCCTCCTTCCCTTCCTTCCTTTCACTCTTCCTTTCAATAAAAAAAATCCTATTTTTCCATTGTTGTACAAAAAGCTAATGATACAGAGCAAATGGCATCTTTGAGAACATGGGTGGAGGCTTTCTTTCTCACCCCAAGTGAGCATAATGAAGTTTACAATGATCCAGGGAAAAACAGCCACAAAAGCATCCTCAGACCAGTGACTTCTAGGTCCTTCATCTTACAAACTTAAAGAATTTCAGGCCAGTCTAGCTTGGGCCCGGCAGAATGGCTCCCGCAAAGAAGGGTGGCGAGAAGAAGAAGGGCCGTTCTGCCATCAACGAGGTGGTGACCCGAGAATACACCATCAACATTCACAAGCACATCCATGGCGTGGGCTTTAAGAAGCGTGCTCCTAGGGCACTCAAAGAAATCCGGAAATTTGCCATGAAGGAGATGGGGACTCCAGATGTGCGGATTGATACCAGGCTCAATAAAGCCGTCTGGGCCAAAGGAATAAGGAATGTTACATATCGTATCCGGGTACGTTTGTCCAGAAAACGTAATGAGGATGAGGACTCACCAAACAAACTCTACACATTGGTAACTTACGTGCCTGTTACCACATTCAAAAATCTAAAGACAGTCAATGTGGATGAGAACTAACCTACTGAATCTCAAATAAAGTTGGAGAACAGCCAAAAAAAAAAAAAAAAAAAGAATTTCAGGCCACACATAATAGGAGGGTATGTTTAGAAATGAATTTTATTATGGGATTTTATGTGAAAGCTTAATAGAAATCATGGGTAGAGCTTTGGTGTAGCAGAAGCAAATCTGAGAAAATAGGTTACCATATAACTTTTAGTCTGGGGACTTCATATTTGGCAATGGAAGTCAGCCAGTCACTGCATCATGGGAAAGGGAGGAGATGGAGCTTGCATCTGAGAATTAGTAAAAAGAACCCAGAGTGTCAGGCAAAGCAGCTTTAGGCTTTGGGCATGTATTCCCCCCCAAAAAAAAGAGAGAGAGAAAGAGATAAAAAAAAAACACAAGGTAAAGGAAAAGCGATTTTTTTTTTTTGAGTAAAAACTCAGAAAAGCAAAGCAGGCAGGCTTAGCGTTACATGGCAGAAGCTCTTGTAAGGCATCTGGAAATTTATATCATCTCACTGAGGGACTAGAGAGTTAGTTACTTCATCTCAGCTTTTTATGGTGTCTTCAGGAGATCAGCTTTCGGGGTAACTTCCTGGACATGTATTAACCAGACTAGATGGATAAATTCTGTATTGTTTCTTTTTGGGGTATTTTATTTTATAGGGCTACACAGATGAATCAGAGCACTTAAGAGCACTTCCTGCTCTTCACAGAGTATACAGGTTCAGTTTCCAGACGCTGGGCAGCTCATGCCACTTGTAAATCCAGCTCTAGAATATCAGACACACACTTCTGGTTTCTGAGGTCATCCTAACACACACACACGTGCAATACATATATGTTATATTATATGCTATATATGTTTATATATGTATATATGTTTGAGAGAGATGTAGTGGCGTTTTATTAACATTTTAATAAATAAAGATTGCCTGAGGATCGGAGAGTAATAAAACAGCCCCACTGGTCAGTCTTATAGACCAGGCAGTGCTAACACACACCTTTAATTCAAGTAACAACACTAGTTGCCATAGAAACTTGGAAGCGCATTCTTTAATTCCAGCCCTAGAGAGGATTATAAAATGGGAGAAGACAGCTCTCAGAAACAGTCTCATTCTGAGATTCTTGTAGGCAGGATTGCTGTTTTATACTGAGGTAGAGCTAAGAGTCAGTTGCTGGCTGTTTTGCTTTTCTGGTCTTCAGGTTTAACCCCAGTTTTTTTTATCTGAGATTTTATTAATTTTGTTTCAGATATACATATATGTATCTCAAAAACTTAAAGATTTTATTTTATTTTGAACTGTTTTTATGAAGGGTGAGTAGGTACATCCAGAGGTCAGAGGAGATCTGTGCTCATACAAGTGTAGGTACCTGCAGAGGCAAGAAGGGATAGTGGACAATATGAGTACAGATGCCTGCAAAGGTGGGGAGCATGTTGGGTTATTTGAGTGAAGGCACCTGCCCAGGCCAGTGGAGAAGTGGGTATGTGAGTGCAGGGGCCTTCAGAGGTCAGAGGGGCGGTGGGCATGTGAGTGCAGGTGCCTGCAGCTGATAGAGGAGGGTGGTAGGAAGGTGAGTGAGGTTCCTACAGAGCCCAGGCTGGCAGTGAGCATGTGTGGTGGTCTGAATAGGAGTGGCCCCCATAGGCTCATGTGTTTGAGTGCTTGGCCCATAAGAAATGGAACTATTAGGAACTCTGGTCTTGATAGAGAAAGTGTGTTGCTGTCAAGATGGGCTTTGAGGTCTCATATATGCACAAGCCATGGACAGTGCAGTCTCTTCTGCTGCTGCCTGTAGACCAAGATACAGAACTGACAGCTCCTCCTCCCAGCATCATGACACCACCATGTCCCACCATGATGATAATGGACTAAACCTCTGAAACTGTAAGCCACTCCAATTAAGTGTTTTCCTTTATAAGAGTTGCCATGGTCATGGAGTCTCTTCACAGCAATAGAAATCCTAAGACAGCATGTAAGGTCACATGTTACAGAAGCTGGATGGGGGCAGTGGGTTATGTGAGTGCTGGAACCTGCAGAGTCCAGGGCAGGCAGTGGCCATGTATGTGAACATGCCTGCAGAGTATAGAAGAGGGAGGTCTGCATGTGAGTTCAGGTGCCTAGGAAACAAGGAGGCAATGGAGATGTGAGTCCAAATACCTGCAAAGGCCAGAGAGTTGGGGTGGGCATGTGAGTGCAGCTGGGCACCAAGGCCAGAGGGGGCCTGTGGGCATATGATTGCAGGTTCTTGCAGGGGCCAGGCAGGCAATGGGTATGTGAATAAAAGTGCCTGAAGAGGTGCCAGCACAGGCCATATGGGCCATGGGTATATGAGTGCAGACGCCTTCAGAGGACAAAAGGGAACAGTGGGTATGTGTGCAGGTGCCTGCAGAAGCCACAGCAGGCAGCCGTGTGAGTGCAGGTGCCTCCAGAGTGTAGAGGAGGAAGGTCAGCATGTGAGTTCGGGAGCCTCCAAAAGCAAGCAGGAGCAGTTTGCATGTGAATGCAAATACACACCGTGGCCAGGGAGATGGTTTGGGCTCACAAGTGACATGTGAACGCTGAGGCCAGGGATGCATTTGACATGTGAATGCAGGTGCCTTTGGAAGGACAGGATGAGGCAATGTATTTATAAACACAGTTGCTCCAGAGGCCAGAGTGGGGACATTGGCATGTTAAGTGCAGGCTTCTGTAGAGGCTAGGCAGGACGTGGACATGGGAATCAGATACCTGAAAATGCTAGAAGGAGGCAGTGAGCCTGTGAGTCACTGCAGAGCCCAGGGGGCAATAGGCATGCGTGCAGGTTCCTCACAGGACAGAGTGGGTCAGTGGGTATGTGAGAGTAGGTGTGTACAGAGGACACTGCAGGCAGTAGCCCTGTGAGTACAGGGGACTGCACAGGCTGGGAGGGGGCAGTGGGCATGTGAGTGCAGATGCCTACAGAGACCAAGGGGTGGCAGTTGGCATGTGGGTGTAGCTGCCTGCAGAGTCCATCTCGGAAGTGGTGTGTGAGTACCGATGCCAGGGATGCATTTGGAATGTGAGTGAAGGTACCTTTCGAAGGACAGACTGAGGCAGCCTGTATAAGAGTGCAGCTACTGCAGAGGCCATTGGCAGTGAGTTCATGAGTTCAGGGGAGTGCCTATGTCAGAGGAGGGAGGTGGTCATGTGACCACATGTTCCTTCAGAGGACAGGCTGACAGTGGGCATATGAGTTCATCACTTCTGGAAGTCAGATGGTGGCACAGTCCTTGTGAATGCAGACCCTGCAGATGCCAGAGAGTGGCAATGGCGTGAGTAGGTAATTACATAGGGCAGCATGGGATAGTGAGTCCATAAGTCTAAGTGCACAGAGGCCAGGGCTGGCTGAATTCATGTGAATGCATGGGCCTTCAGAGGTCAGAGGGGAGAATGTAAGTGTATGTTCCTGCAGAGTCAGGTAGTCAGTGGGTAAGGCTGGTGCCTGAAGAGGCCAGAAGGAGGCTGGGGCATGCCAGTGCTATTACTGCAGAGACCAGGGAGCAGTGGTCATGTGAATGCAGGTTGGCACCAAGGCCAGAGAGTACCTGTGGGCTTGTGAGTGCACATTCCTAAAGAGGCCAGAGTGGAGCAGTGGGCATGTGAGTGCTCCTTCTGCAGAACCCAGAGGAGGCAGTAGGTATGTGAGCACATGTGTCCCCAGAGGCAATTGGGACAGTGGTCATGTAAAGATGGTACCCAGGGAGGATAGAAGTGGGAAGTATGCATATGAGTGCAGGGTCCAGAAAGTCCGGAAAAGAGCCATGGTCTTGTGACCGCAGGTGTCTGCAGAGGTCAGACTGACAGTGGGCAAGTGAAGTGAGTTTCCTGCCAAAGAGAGATGGTGGGTTTGGGCATGTGAATGCATATGCCTGCAGAGAACAGAGTGGGCCATTGGGCATGGGAGTGCAGGGAACTACATAGGGCAGAGTGTGGCAGTGGGTGCAGGTCAATAGCCATGTGGCCTGCAGTGGCAAGAGAAGGTCAATGAGCATGTGAGTGCAGGTCTCTTCAGAGGCTTGTGTGGTTGTGGTCGTGTGAGTGGATATGCATTCAGAAGCCAGAGGGTAAGTGGGCACGTGAGTACTGGTACCTGCAGAGGCCAGGGCGGCAGTGGGTATGTGAGTATAGGTGATTTCAGAGACCAGAGGTGGGGTGTGGGCATTTGAGTGCAGGTTCCTGCAAAGGCAAGGAGGCAGTGGGCATGTGAGTGTAGGTGGCTGCAAAAGCCGGAGTTGAACAGTAAACATGTGAGATCAGGTATGTGCAGAGGCCCCACTGTGTCGGAGACCAGCTTCAACAAAGATACCACCTTACCAGGGTAGGGGGATAGAGATTAAAAAAAATGAGTAAAGAGAACAAAGACACAAGTGAAAATAATAAAACAGAAACATATGCTAGTAACAAGAGGGAGTTGCAAGGAATACTGAAATCGACCACATTTAATTTCCATTTTTTTGTAGTCAAACAAATCCAAAGACTTTCTTTATTTTATTTTGTTTTTCCATTCAAAAATTTACATTTCTTTCCTCCTCCCATTCCTCTCCCACCCTCCCACTCCCCCTCCTCTCTACCCCTCCCTGCTTGAGAGAGGGCAGGGAACCCTGCCCTGTGGGAAGTCCAAGGCCCTCCTCCCTACATCCAGGCCTAGGGAGCTGGGCATCCATATAGACTAGGGTCCCAAAAAGCCAGAACATGCAGTACAAACGAGTACCAGTGCCTTTATCAATGGCTTCTCAGTCAGACCCCATTGTCAGCCATAATCAGAGAGTCCATTTTGATCACATGCTCCTTCAGTCTTAGTCCAGCTGGGTTAGGTGAGCTTCCATTAGAACACATACACTGCCTCAGCGGGTGGCCCAACCCCTCATGGTCCTGACTTCCTTGCTCCTCTTCTCCCTCCTTCAGGCCTTCAAATGGACGTTGAAAGCTCAGTCCTTGCTCCAATGTGGGTCTCTGTCTCTATCACCATCCATCGCCAGATGAAGATTCTATG